GCATTGGCTTTAATGAAATATTCCTTCGTTTTACGTCATCGTTAATAACAAAAAACGCTGGCAATTAAACGACAAAGTGGCATTCTGCTGAGATTTTTTATAGTGCCTCCACACCCTACAATACAAGTGGATTAATATATTTTAGCTCTTTCCCTAACCACTCTTAATTAGGCACTTGCGAAGGTGTAATGAAGGAATTAGTCAACTTTTTATCTCTTACTAGACAGTTTGTTGCAATCTCTTTGCTTAGCGCTATTTTGTATGGTCTTAGTTTGCTTTATGTGCAAGAGAAAAATGTTTTGTTGGAAGACATAGCGCTGTATTGAAGCAAGAAAGAAAGCGATGGATGGAACTATTTTTATTACTTAATTTCTTCCGTTCGGTTGCCACAGATGTGATTTGCTCATTTTTTTTTATTAGTGGGTGTGTCAATATGAGTGATTTGATTTTGTGGATAATAATATTTCAACAGCTCATCAATGTAATTAGTAATCGTGTTACTTGCAGGAAATACGAAAATAAATATTTAAATGTGACAGGCAGTCAATATTAGATGAGTGATTGAAATTTAGCTAGCAATATAAACACTTTCATTCCAAAGGAGTTTTTGGATAAATGTGGCTTATTGTTCCACAGCTTTCCACGCAACAGCGGTTCAATCACCGATACCGTCAAACACTTTGGGAAACTTTCATAAATTTATCATGGTGAAATCCTAGTATGACTCATTCCCAAAAATTACCATCATAAAACTTCTGAAGTGTTGGATTACATGGCCTTCAACTTCTGCTTTAGCAATCTCTTTTCCATAGGAGTCTCATATAGCCATGAATAAGAAAACACAAGACTGTCTCCTATCAAGGAAGCGAACATCAGATGACTGCTGCTTGACTAGAAGGTTCTGGCCTGAGATGCTTATAATCCGTCTAGATCGGTTCTCTATCAGTATATCTTCGGATATAAAAATTGGTAACATTTTTTAGTTTGCCTTCGCACAGGCGTAAAACCATTTATTTTTATCACAGTTGCCAGGACTACGTAGAGGAATAGTCAGTTACCCTTGGCACCAAACTAACTCTCTACGTGGCCTCTTTTCTCATATAATTTTCAAGCAATAACCCTGACGACCAAAATTTCAAACTTCTCACACTAACGAATCTCAGCTCTTCTTCTTTTATATATATACCTGTATGGTCGATTGCAGTGATTCGAGGAAGACAGTTTTCTTTCATTCTACCATCGTGTGAAAATCCTCATAGTACCACTCACTAGCAGTATGGACATGAAGTTTGAACTCCTTTAAGTGAATATGTTTTGTTAGTATATGCCAGAAGAATCTCTATTTACGTTTTGTCCATAGCGTTTCTTGGATGATGGTGATGGCAGCCATCGACCAGCTTTAGTATGCTCCGGCTGAATGCCATGAAATCATAATCCTTAACTTGTTTGACGCTTCTATTTGGAGATGGTTTCAACATCGTGGTTCTCAAGCTGCGGTTTCTTGGCAGGTTTTTATTATTTAGCCCATGCCAAAGGCTGCACGAAGTTTTGCTATTACGTCTCGCACCTCAGACAGGAGCTGCTGAGGGAAGTAGGAGCAGGAATAGCGTTCAGACTTTCATGGACAAAACTTCTTCTTTATTAATTCTAATTTTAAGTGAAGTTTAAGACCAAATTTAATAAGACATTTTTGAATCCAATTTTTTCATAGCAACGATATTGAATGAAAGTTTATCCAGTTAATTTTTTTTTTGGCATTTCGTTAGAAGTAAAGCATTATCGAATTTTTAAATATTATTTTCTTCTTTCTTATTTCTTTAAATTTTTCTTTCGGATCATGGGTTGTCTGAGTAAATACTTCTGAGGATAAAGTCGCTTTTTGTCCCAACCATACTCCAAATCTTCAATTCTATCTTTGATAATTTAGTTCTCAAACAAAAATTCCATAACGACGAGAACTTGTGCGGAAAGCCGGAAATTATTTAGGTATATCTAATTTTTTCTTTAATAAATTTTAATATTTAAAAAAGTATTATGTTCTCGTAAATTTAAATCTAAATATAATTTTTTTAAGGACACCAAAATTCATAATTAACTTATAACCACCAAAAATTAAATTTTTACCACAATTACAAACATACTCACGTACAGCGCCAATCAATGCCAAACACGAAATGTTTATGGTTTGTTCTATGGCTGTCCACAAAATAGTACAAACCGCGAATTATAGTCAACCACAGAGAGTAATTTCTCATATGCGCTTCACTAAATTGACAAAATGGCAGATATTTTAATAACTGGCGATAACTAAATGCAACAACAAAGGCAGACACACCACTTGCATGTCATTTTGAAGAGTGAGTTACTTAGCTAAAGTGAGGGGAAAAATGTTAAAAATATGAAAAGCGCTGAACTGGGAAAAAGTCAACGCCGACAAATGTTATAATCAACAATAATGCAGTGTTGCAATTCGCATGGGTGTGTGTGTGTGTGGTGCACATAATTCTGTGGCATTTCAAAAATGTTGCCAACATGCAGTTGAAGCTTTTGAAGAGTCACGTGATTATTTGCTTAGTTTTATTTTTGGTTTGGGTTTTTTTCTTTTTGTTCTTAATTTAATGGCTGTTGGCTTATAAACTGCCTGTTTGTGCATTTGACAGCTGTCGTTATGGTTTGACATTCGCCACTTTTTGTTTGACTGTATGTGCATGCCACTTGTGCGCGTGCTTTTGTTTTTTTTACAGTTTTTTTTTTTTTTATTTAGTTTCACTCACCCACTGGATTTTGATTATTTTAATATTTTATTTATGCTCGTTTATAGTTTTTGCAGTTTTTTTTTTGATTTTGTTGTGCCACAACAATTCGTGCCCAACATGAAATTGTGTGACTAAACGTTCGCGTTTAGCTGTAAATTAATGGCAAAAAATCCTGTTGGCAGTCAACGAGCAGCACAATGAGCTGGTCCTTTGATATATTTATACAAATATATATATATAAATATATGGTATTTACAAACTAAGGTGTGGGTTGTTAAGAAGTAAAATCTTAACTTGTACTAAAAATAGCAAGGAAAATTTGAGCTTGTAGAAAACTTTACAAGTAAATTAAAACTTGAAGGACATTCGACAAGTACATTTTTTGGGAATCCTCTCAGTGATATTTTATTTTTTAAAGCTTATAATACAAACACCTTAAATAAAAATTAGCGAGATAAGTTGAAAATGTGAAACAAAAAGCTTGTAATATTACGCGGTCACAAATAAACAGCAATAAATTAAAGCAAAACTTGTTATAATATTTATAAGTAGAATTATTAAGGTATTTTTCCTATTTCCTGAAACAAATTTATAAAGTTAAATATTTAGATACACTCAAGCTTTAACGTGTAAGAGGAAAACTACAATTGTACTTAATCATACAAGTAAAAGCTTAACTTGTATTTAGTTTGATGAAAAATTAATTATTAAATTATACTTCCATTATTTTATACAAATTTGAGCAAAACTTGCAAAATTTTTCTTACTAAGTGAAGTTTTGGCGTTATTAGAAGAAAACCTTACCTAGTTTTAAAATTTATATTAAAAACTGTAACTTGTAAAATATTTTACAGGTAAATTTTTTTTGCTAAGTCATGCAATGGTTTCTTGCTTTTTTTGAATTTTGATTCTTTTTTTTAAATATACAATAATATATTTGAAAAAAAAATTTATGTATGAAAGTTTGAAGTTTCAAAAGTTAAAAAAGTGAAACTTAAGCTATCTACATAGTTAAGACACACCCTTAAGCACATTCACATATTTATTTAAATAGCACGTGATAACTTCACCTCCGTAGGCTTGGTGTGAGCTGCAATTCTGGTATGTGGAATGTCCTATAGTGTAATAACATGAATTATTAAATTTACCACATGTCATATGAACATACAAACATACACAAACATATTTATAAAATTTACTACATACCATACACCACAGCATTTCTATCTCTTTTGTTGGCCGTACTGGCATTTGGCAACAAAATATTCGTCACGCCGCTGCCTTGCCGCACGCCATTTTAGTGTTGCACAAGTGCAGATGTATGTGTATATAGTGTATGAACAAGTAAGTGGATTGCATACAATAGCCAGCTAACAGCCAGTAAACTTTCAACATGCAACATGCAACATGCCACATGCAATGTTTACTCTTTTATAGTATGCCTTTCAAATGATTTTTATTTTTAATTTTAGATATTCTTATGGCCTTTTTATTTGCACGCTTTCGTGTCAGTTTTGTTCTGTCTAATTTTTTTTTTTTGAGTTTTTATACATCTCCTTGCCAATTTTAGCACTTTTCACGCCAAACAAATACCGTTAATGTATATGTTTACATTGCTTTTGATTTTCTTGTTATTTTTTTCTTGTGTATACATACTTATGTACAATTCATTTTTTTCTCTCTTGTAATTTTCTTGCTAAGCAGCATTGTCGCCACTTTAATGCTTGAGCTGTAATGAAAAAAAATTTATAATTGAAAACAAAATTTTTTTTTGATATTTTTTTTTTTGGTATAAATTTCCTTTTGACTTGTCTTGGCATGCCGTGCTTGAATTTAATTTTCTTTGAGTCAAGCACTCGAGAGTAGCTGTCATTTCTCTAATAATGTAATGGAGTTTTATTAGTTTTAATGTGTGAAGTATTTGAGAGACATGAGAATGAATTTCAGTTATCTTGATTCCAGGATGTTTAAAAAATAAAGTCAGGAAATTCCCAAATAATTAAAAAAAATTGAGATATATATTATAAATACAAGAAAAAGTACACTTGTACTAAAATTTACAAGAAAAAGTTACACTTGTAATTATTTCTACAAGCAAATTTTTTGAGCTATTAATCCTTTTTTTTCAAACAGTTTGAGTGGGTAAGAAAATCATATATTAATATGAAAAAGTTTAAAAGAAAAACATTTCCAAAAAGCTAAATTGCCTTAGTCAATGAGTTAAATTTTTTTTATTCCTTACAGGTTGTGCCTTCTTAACTTACTTTAGCCCGGAGAGCACAACGACGGCTGCTAATTCACCTACAACGCCACAAGCAGCTGTGCTCAATGATAAAACGGCTTTAACTGGGGTAAGTCATTTAAAAGAAATTTCATAAAAATTTTTTGTAGTGCAAATTTTCCGTTGTTCTAGTAGTGGCTTGTTGTTGTGCACTAATCAAATAAATAAATTTGTGAATAATTCTATTAAATTGATTTGAATATTCAATATATATTTTCTGAAATTATTTTTTTAGATATATAATAAATAATTAATTGTTTATAAATAATCAAAATTTGTAAATAGTCTTAAATATTCTCCTTAGACATTTTTTTCTGTGCTTTTAATTTTTCGAAATTAAGTTTAAATATATAAAATATAGTAAAATTTATTCCAATATTGTGAATAATGCCTGAATAATTATAAAACCGTATTTTTTGAGGTTAAAAAATTTTTTTTTTTTTTTCAATTTATTTTCGAATTTTTCTGTTTAAATAATTATTTATTTGGTTACTTGCATTCCTCAATACCATACACATGAATCCTTTTATCACTTTTGATTCAGCTTACTGCAAAATTGTTCGATTCAACCCACTTTTCCCATAGTCTAATCCAATTAGTTTGAAAAATCTGCTTAAAACATCCTCCTAACACATCAGAGTCCTTTACCTCACTTTCTAAAATCTGCATACTTTTCGGCGCTCATTAAGAGTAACGCCCCAAAATGACTAGCTTAACATTTCGGTTTGTTGTATATATTCTATTTTCATAGCCGTAAATTCACTAAATACGCGCTCTTCGTCATCATCATCATCACCACCAGCGTCAACAACAACCACATTGCATACTTCAATCCGCAAAATTTACCACCGACAACCAAAGCGACCAAATTTTTAGTCTGTGGCTATGTGGTTTTTCCAGTGGTCAATGGGAATTTTGCTTTATTACATGAGTTTGCAAATTAATGCGTGCGTCCGAGCGCAGATAATGATTTGGACATAAATAGTGTTTCGGTCACGTACACATTGTTGTTGTTGTTGATTAAATTTTCTATTTAACATAAGTATCTTTCGTCGATATAGATTAGAGGTATCTAATGCGCTTGTTGCTGTCATTTTGCATTGTACTATATGCGGCGAAATCAAATATACATTTAAAGTGATTTAATGAATTTCGGAATCTTTTGACCATGGATGCAAATTTGTTTATAAACAATTTATTTGATAAATAAACGAATACTGATTTCTGGGCTCAAATACCTTTATTTTGAGGACAAAATCGAAAAAGAGCCTTCAAAGCTTTTAACAGAACATAATTGAATTTAGGTTAAGTAGAAGTGTCTTATCTCAAAAGGCTACTCTATGATGACACAAAGATTAAAAAACGTCCTGAATGCAAGACCGCTTTTCATTGTAGATGATGAACTCTCACCGGCCTATGCTCTGTCAGAACTCTTACTATATGCAAGAATTATGTGATTAAGAAGTCGGTTCCCTTGATTTATAGGATACACCTTAGGCCAGAGAGATATCACAACTGTGTATGTGACAGAGGATCACGTTTGGGATTTGTTCAGAATTGACGACGGTGTGGTTACCAAATGTGTGAGCACATCTGATATAAGCTTCTCAGCAGTTTCGATGTGAGTTTGCTAAATAGATTGTCTTAATTCTGACATAAATTAACGTCACATGAGAAAGTGAAAATTATTTTTCCACAACTTTTGTGAGCTGGCTGCTTGCTTAGATTAGCAAGCATACTAATGACCTCAAATTGGGAGGCAATATGTATGAATATTCGGTCCAGTGCTTAGGAGGATGTCTCTGCTTCTATCCTTGTTGAAGCTAGGCCGAGTCAGGCAACCTTGTAGCCTTTGCTACTGGGGCAGATACCAAAGAACATTTAAGTAGAGGCCGAATGTACCTATCTTTGGATGAACTTGTATAAATATTTATTAGTTATTATTTTTTAATAAGTTCCGCTTCGAGAATGCTTTTATGATCACAGAACCAGGTTATGGATATACCAAACTGTTTTCCTCTTGACTAAAAACTTTTCTATAATCATTATTGGTGACGGTAAGGCCAGCAGACTTGCCCAACTGTATGGCTACTTTCCGTATCTTTTCATAATTCCGTATGCTTGGTAAACCGTTAACGTAAAATGATATGAGTGTGATGAATGCGAAGAAAGGATGATATCAAGACTTACGCACTCTGTGGTCTATTTTCCACTTGCCAGTATACTTATTTTTTTCTGGACAACTTACCGAACCGACCGAATTCCCTATCATATTCTCCATGGTATCTACCCTTAATACTAACATTTTTTGAAGAAACAAATTAAAAAATAAATAATAAACTGGAGTCTTCAAATGTTTTTTCGCACTTCCTAACTCCTTGAGTCAGTTGAAATAGATTTATATTCGAATTAAAATTAAACTTTTCTTGAACACTTCTAAACGTTACACAGAGCCAAAATATGCACATTCATATACGAGTACACAAACACCAACAGACACATATCACTTTCCGGTAGTTGAAGCACAGCAATGTGCCCGCATGCAAACTTACGAAGTTTTCGTTAAAGCGTAGACCTTGCGAAATGCTTGCAAAGGAAAAAGTCAGAAAAAAAGAAATCCAAACGCTTATCTCGATCTTGAATGGATATGGTTATGGATATGAGCTATGAAAGATGCCATTTTTTGCGCCATGAGCTCGGCTACACATGGATTTACAAATATAATAGCTCAGACCAGCGAATTGCGGCAGAAATGTGGCACACACACTCATAAGCACACAAATGACATACGTTTCTTTTTACTTATAAGTCAAGCGATCTTTCGCTGGTCTTTCGCTGCTGGTTTGTGACATTCGGCTTTTGTTGGTGGTATTGATATGCTGGTTGGTAGTTAACTTGACGCGTTCTCAAAATTCTATTTTAAATGTAATTTTTTTTTCGTTTCGCTTAGCCACACATACGTACACAACAGAAATTCTTACGAACTGTGAAGCCTCTGCTGGCTTTTTGGTATTTTTTTTTTTTTTTTGGGATTTTGCCCTCTTCTTTACCAACAGAGTTCAGCTCGTTGCAGGCGTGTTGGTTTGAAAAACTTGAAACTTTTGCATACAAAGTGAAATTTATCAGGCAGTCAGTAAAGCAACTCAAGCGGACTTTCTAGTTGTCCTGTGTGGGTGGGTGTGTGTGTACTTGCTTGGTTTGTAAGCAGCTTCAGCTCCTCCACTTCTCAGCCCCTCAGCCACTCTGTTGGTTGCCTTGGCTTTGCGGGTGATGTTTAAGAAGTAAAACTTTCTAAATAGAATATGCAGTACTCGGAAATCATAACGGAAATTTTTAAAATTGCTAATATTTAATGTATTTCATGTGTGTGTGTGTATGTGTATGTTTGGATATGTGGGCAAGGAGAAATGTGCTTGTGGCTATGTGACAGGAAAGCCAAAGTAGGCCTTACAACTCTTTGCTCTTCTCTTTTTTTGGTTTTTTTTTTTGAACCAAAACTGACTTTAGGTTTTAAATGCGTTTCCAAGATTTTTGATTAGTTTTTAACTTGGTGATTTTACTGTTATATGCCACTATTCGGTATCGTTTTCCTTAGTAGTTACAGTAACAAAAAATAATATATATATATATATATATATATATATATATCATTGCATACATTTTGGCGGCAAAAGTCAACTGCAATAAAATGACAGTTTTCAAAGAAATGTGGTTGGAGAAAAATAGAGAAAAATAGTAATAAGTAACAAATAATATTGAACATAAGATAGACCAAAATGCGGGCGGGATTGTTTTTTTATTGCAAGACCTTTCCTGCTAATATATGATTAATAATATGGGTTAAACTTTGGTCCGGTAAAAATGGTGGGTAACCAAAAATTATGGTATGACATAAAATATGGTACAACAAATATATATTATACCATATTTTATGGAATAATATTATGAACTTTTCGAATTGTAGCATTGCCAAATAGTGAATACATTTTTCATAATAGTTTAGCTATTTATTCTTTCGTGAAGTTTGTCATGATCCAGAGAATAAAATTTGGTGCTTTAGTATAAACGAACCTTGCTTGCAATACTTTAGAGAAAACGGCAGTTAAATGAATTAAACTCCGAAAATTTTCCTAAAAATTTAGAATTAATGGTAAAATGTTAAGGCAAAACTACTTTGCTTGACAAAACTATTGCCATGACAAATATTGAGAAAAATGATTTTAAAAGAAAGAAAGCCGTATCCGAATGATTTTATAGATAATGTAAAATTTAATGAGAAATCACAATAATTAATAAGTAAAAAAAGTAATAATATTAAAAAACGATAACAAAACTATTGTTAATTATAATATCAATATATTTCCCATGCAGATGAAGGTAAACAAAATTTTAATGCCACAGGGATATATCTTGCGCTGGCACAAAAGAAAAATCCAAAATTGTAATAAAAGAATTCAGAATAAGTTCTCATATCTACCATTAGAACTTGCATATAGATATACATATCTACATATATAAATTTATGCATCGGAAGTTCAGAATGCTAGATTATATTTGCATAAAGTTTTTACAAAACTAGCCGCACTTCTTCATTTCCTTCCTGCCTTCGCTTTGCGCTCTTCTCAGCTCTCCTTCCACCCAACGCTTCTCCTTTAGCTTCCCTTTCGTCCAGTGCCTCCTCTTACTACAGCTCCTGCCACCGTTGTTATAACCCATTCTTATGCTATCGCTGCTGCTTCCTCTACGCCTTCTTATTTATCTACCCGGACGCCATCAACTTCTCGTGCCCCGCATACTTTACCAATTCATATCTTTATTGTTTGCCTCACCAGTGATTATGCAATTTTAGTTATTGTAGTTATTTCAAAGTTTGTTGAAGCGCAATTTCTTTTCTGGTTTTATGCATGAAATGAAAATTCATGCCTGAAAATATGCAACATTTATGCAAAGTTCGAAGAAATATATAAAAAAAATCTGTACGCACGCTAGAACACATACCTACACATTTACTCGTGCATAAATGCAGGCTGCTGGTGCTGCACATCGGAATGTGGGTTAGGCATTGTCAGT